GCGGGAGGGGACCTCACCGGGTGCGCCAAACACGGGGGGGCGGGAGGAGGGGGGACCGCATCATGGCCGGAAACAGATTCGCGAACGAGGGATGTGCCGCAAGGAGGAAGACTCACACGACAAGGGAAGACCCAACAAGAAACGGGGCCAAGCCAGGCAATCTTGAATACGCCGTGCTCTCCACCGTCTTTAGGGACCTCCTCGATGTTGTCCGAGCGGATGTGGGCGGAAGATCGCGCCGCATCGCCGATGCACCGGTGATCCGCATCGCCGATGCATCGGCGATACATCGCCAACGCATCGGCGACGCATTGGGGACGTCGGCGGTGCATCGGCGCCGCCCGCGTGGAGAACACCGGGCTCCGCATCGAGCCGCATCGCCGATGCATCGGCGCTGCGGCGCGATCCTCCGAAACCGTCTACTCGGATGTCACGCGAGAGGCCTAGAATCTAGGACGCCCCCGACCCTGAAGGGAATAGGGTTAGGTCGGGCATGTCCCCCTACTGGCGGAGATTGGACGAACAGTTCATTACTCCGACGGAAAGACCCCGCATGATAATCTGTTCAGATTGCCCTTAGCGCTTCCCTCCTCGCCCTGGCAGACACCCTACTCTTGCCCTCTGCTCTGTCCTCTCCTCCTCCTCCTCCTCCTCCTCCTCCTCCTCCTCCTCCTCCTCCTTCTATTCCTTCTCCTCCTCCTTCTATTTATCCTCCTCCTCCTCCTCCTCCTCCTCCTCCTCCTCCTCCTCCTCCTTTTCCACCTCCTCATCATCGTCGCCTTCTCCCAATCCCGTCCCCGTTGTCATCCTTCCCCTGCTTCTTCTCCACGTGCGCCCCCTTTTCCCCTGGTCGGGGCAAACAAATCGATTTTCCTCGGAGCCGTCGCCGTCTCGGCCAGCGCGCGCGCATTCGCCGACGGCTGGTTCGCGAGGCCCTCGGGGCAGCTGCGCGGCCCATGCCTTTGGGACAACCCCGCGGGCCGCTGGGGCGCGGGGGCAAGCCGTCGGGACAACCCCGCGGACCAGACCGTTGGGACAACCCCGCGGGCCTTTAGCTGCGCGCCGCGGCGCTCATGCGGGAGGCAGCACGAAACCAAGCTTTGTGGTAAGCTGCTCGGCCTTACACCTGGAGATCTTCGTTTTCTCCTCAAACTTCTTCAGCGCCCCCCGCAAGGGCGCCGGCGACCCGCGCTCCAGAAACTCGCGCGAGGGCGGCCGCAGGATCAGCATGTTCCGCACGCGCGTGACGCGGGAGAACAGGACGTAGAGGTGCAGCCACCACTGCTCGTCCGACATGCACGCGCGGCCAACGCCCTCGTCCCTCGCGCAGTCGATGGTGACGCCTTTGCGCAGCGTCTGGCCCTGCGACAGCGTGGAGGTCAGGTAGGACGCGTGGGTCAGGGTGGACCCCGAGCGGCGCACAGCGTGAGGCCCCGAACTCTGCCACGTGACCTCCTGCTCGCTGGGCCTGAACATGAGCAAGCTCCTCGCCCGCGCCTCGGCCTCGCCGTGTTCGGCGTCGCCTCCGGCGCCCTGCAGCAGCAGCTCGGCGACCTCCTTGTAGATCGGGGTCTCCTTGAAGCCGTAGACCTGCAGCCAGATCCCCTGCATTTGGTAGCGGCTGGCCCGGCGCGCGCTCCTCGTAGTCCCGCTCGTCGTGCGGGTGAAATCCGACTGAGACTTCTTTGCAACTCCATCACAGACGAGGACCCCGCCTGTTACAACTTCCGTATTCAAGCCTGAGGAGCCCAAAGGAGGCGACAGTTACAGGATGCCGATGACCCGCCTCGGATTCGAAAATGACGCGCGGGCCCCTTAGGGAGGGAGCTCCCGACGGACACTTCCTCGCAATTCACTCACAGACGAAGCTCCCGCCTGATACTTTCTCTATATTCAAGCCTGAAGAGCCCAAGAATGACGACAATTTCACGATGCCGATGATCCGCCTCGGATTCGACCCTTACGGAAGGATCTCCCGCCTAAGACTTCCATGCAATTCACTCACAGACGAAGGTCCCGCCTGATATTTCCCCCATTTTCAAGCCTGAGGAACCCAACAATGACGACAGTTACTTACAGGATACCGATGACCCGCCTCGGATTCGAACATGAAGCGCGGGCCCTTTAGGGAGTAGGCTCCCGCCTGGGATTTCCTCGCAATTCGCTCACAGACGAGGCTCCCGCCTGATACTTCCTCCATTTTCAGGCCTGAAAAGCCCAACAGTGACGACCGTTGCAGGATGCCGATGACCCGCCTCGGATTCAAGCATGAAGTGCAGACCCTTTAAAGAGGAAGCTCCCACCTGAGACTTCCTTGCAATTCGCTCACAGACGAGGCTCCCGCCAAATACTTCCTCCATATTCAGGCCTGAGGAACCACAAATGTGACGACGGTTACAGGATGCCGATGACCAGCCTCGGATTCAAACAAAAAACGCGGGCCCCTTAGGGAGGGAGCTCCCGCCTGAGACTTCCCTACAATTCCCTCACAGACGAGGCTCCCGCCTGATACCTCCTCCATACTTAAACCTGAGGAGTCCAAAAGTGAGGACAGTTACGGTGTGCCGCCTCGGATTCGAAAATGAAGTGCCGGCCCCTTAGGGAGGGAGCTCCCGCCTGAGACTTCACAATTCACTCACGGACGAAGCTCCCGCCTGATATTTCCTCCATATTCAGGCCTGAGGAGCCCAAACATGACGACAGTTACAGGATGCCGATTACCTGCCTCAGATTCGAACATGAAATGCGGTCCTCTTAGTGAGGGGGCTCCCGCATGAGACTTCCTCGCAATTCGCTCACAGTCGAGGCTCCCGCCTGGGACATCATCCATTGTCATGCCAGGGAGTGAGCGATGACGAAATGACGAGTGAGTGAACGATGATGGTGAGTCAGTGAATGAGTGAGTGAGTGATGATGATTATGGTCACGATGAGAAGTGAATGTGTGAGTGTGTGATTCAGCGGGTGTGAATGTAAGTGAGTGTGTAATTGGTGAAGATAAGAATGATGATGATGATGATGATAATGATGATGATGATGATGATGATGATGATGATGATGATGATGATGATGGTGATGATGATGATGATGATGATGATGATGATGATGCTGATGCTGATGCTGATGCTGATGCTGCTGATGATGATGATGATGATGATGATGATGATGATGAGTGAAGGAGTGAGTGAGGGTGAGTGATGACGAGGGAGAGAGGGGGTGAGGGAGGACTGCGCGGGGTGTCCAGAGAAAACAATAATCCCACTTAGGATGTGGGGGGACACAATCAAACAAATGCTCCAGCATGGCAAACAAATAGGATAAAAAATCATCGTCCCCAGATTGTTGTTGGACTATTCTTGAATATTCTTCCTGTAGAGGACAGGCCCGACTTAAGAGCAGTAGGGGGGAGGACTGTGCAGCAGACTGTGAGCAGGACTTTGCCACAGCTGCGCCCGACGCCGCACCTGCACACCTGCGCCCCGCGCCCCCAGCCGCTGGCTGGCGCAGCATCGGCAAGGATGGGCTGGAGCGCACAAATACATACTACAGCAGTCCTGCAGGGGCGATTTCGGACACCCTGGGCTCCAAATTGGTTCCATCTCTTGGGGACGCATGCTTTACTTCCGCCGCCTTCGGCCGAGCTTCCGCTGGCGGAGGCGGCCCCGTTGTACTTCCGCCGACCTTCCGCCGCCCTTCCACCGCATTCCGCCGCGGAAGAGATGACAACTCCTTCTATCCTCGAAGGCAAGGCCCTTTTTGGAACGCCTCATATGTCCTCCCTGGAGGCGCGCGTACGACCCGCAGATATAGCATACCCATCTTGTAGTAGATCGCTGATGCACTTCCATCTCGACGGCCGCGAATCGCAGGCGAGCTGGAGAGCGCGCGGATCTTGATGACCGCCCTCAGGATGCCGGCAATTCACCTCCTCCCCCCGCTAGAGATCCCATGTCTTGATCTCTTGAGCACGGGGTCCCCGAAAGCCCGAGCCGGTGCGAATCCCAAAAAGTGACGTATATAGGGTGCTGAGGGAGAGATAGAGGCCGCCTGGATAGGGCCAAAGTAGATGGGATCGGATGACCGCGCCGCACCGTCGATGCATCGGAGATGCTCCGCCGATGCATCGGCGATGCGGCGCGGCGACACGGCGCAACCCTCTGACCCAATTTGAAGAAATCTGTATCTTCGGCGATCGCCCAGGATGTTCGTTTTGGGGGAGAGGAAGGTGTTGGCCGATAAGTTGACCTTTTTCGCTGTGGGCAGTCGACGCATGCCCGCGCGAACCAATATTGCGTAACCCTTTCGGACCTGCGCAATTGACAATGTCAAATTTCCCGGGGGTGGGGAAACCAACAGGTACCGATACCGCCACTCCCCGGACCTCTCCCGGGGTGCGTTCGCACTAAGATTTCGAAGCGAATCCAACGGTGGCGAGAAGGCCTCCCAGGAGGCCGAAAAAGGGGAAAACGGGCGAAGGGTAGCGGTATGGGCACCTTTTCCTCCTCTGAGTCTCTTGAAAACCTGGATTCTCCTCATCCTTCCGAGAGAGAAAGATCAGGGAGACGTAAGACTCGGGTTTGGGGGGCCTCGGGAAACGTCAGAAAAATGGCGAAATCCAATCGGAGATTTGACGCGAGCGTCCGCTGCAAACATTCCACGACAACTGGACGGTCAAAATTCCGAACGGGCCACCCGTCGAAAAGTGTCGGCAAATGTCCGAGTTTCGGAAAACTTGAGCCTCACGTTTCCCGTGACTGTAGTCGCAACTCCTCAGAGCTGCCGAGCGCTACCGGAACTGGGTTTGGTGGGACCTGGTTTGAACATGTGTACTAAGGGACGCCCCCACGGCCCCATTTCACTAAGCGGAACTGCCGTCATCCGAAGAAGCACCAACTACCGCAGACTTGGTTTCTCCCTAGCCGGCTCCCCTTACCCGGGGTCCCGGCTGTATGTCCGACTCCTGGAGACTCGACCCTCCGAGAGAACGGAGGCCGGCGCAGCTCCTCAGAGCTGCCGAGGGGCACGTCATCCAGGGGGAGCCCCCCCGGCCGGCTGGGGCGACGCGCCGTAGAGCCGGACGG